TGATGACGTCATAAAGAGAAAAGACCATTATTTGTGCTCATTAATCGTTGTTCATTAATATGGTATAAATCACCTTGTGTAGACAGCTTCTCCATAGTTGTCCCCAACTCGAATGGTGTCTTCTTGAGATCCAAGGGGAAGATTCAGCATGAACGATACGTTAACAGGCTTGTATTGATCTTTGTTCTCAACATTTAAAGTGAACGCCACAGCTGGGACAGCAGATTTGTAAGGATTTCTCGGCTGGAAGGAAGGATACGCGTATAGATCCATGTTGACCCGGTTTGTTATCTTTCCACCTAAAATCAAATGTATAGAGAGGATATTTCATGGCCGCGCAGAGATACAGTTTGAAAGAAATAGCTTAAACTTAGCTTGTTATTTTCAAGCAGTTGAAATAACTCAAAAAGAGGACTTGAAAAGGTACCAGATAACTACTTTTCTGGAGAACATTTAACTCCACCAATTTCAACTTCACATGGGAAGTAAGTTTGACTTCTCTTAAAAGAGCAATTCGCGACTTTCCATGCTCAGGTTCATTGACCACGAACAAAGCATTGAACCGAGGCGTCAAGGTGCACTGAGCGCCAATCTTTTCTTTAATGCTCACTGTACCTTGACGCCTCGATTCAATGCTTTGTTCATGGTCAATGAACCTGAGTATGGAAAGTCGCGAATTCTGAACCCCTTATGGAGTAATTTTGACTCTCTTTCCCAGTTGATTAAACCCTCTGGAGTAAAAAGTACTCGCATTGTAGAGTAGATTTTGTAGGTAGAGTAACTTTACTATAATAACTCCGTTGGTGGAGTTATTTCAACTCTTTGGAAAAATAGTGCAATTACATAATAAAACTAACTTAAATACCTGGAGTCAGCTTACTGACTGGGTAGGCCCCTGAATATGATAGCGTCTCAACTCCAGGGTACCCCTGTGGGGGAAASGTTCTTAATAAAGCACTTTGGCTGGAATGTTTACTGCTCACATGAACACCAAGAAGGGCCATATCTAGAGCTCCCTTATTCAGCTTGGCTGATCCACCAGGCGATTGGTTCTCAATCGTCCATTCATGAAACGTGCCGTCTGCATGGAGCTCGAATGAGCCTGTAGTGATACCACCAAGCGGTACAGCAGAGCGCATGCCCGTTGGTGGGTCTCTAGTCTTWACACGATCCACTATCCCGGATGTGCTGTTCTCTGCACCAGTTTGGACTTCCGGTACTGCGCTCTTTAGCCAACAGCAATACGAACCTAAGCATAAAAGACAAACTTTTTTCTCCATTTTCCAGGTATAATTACCCCATGCACTCTAAGGCGTTTTCGTACCATATTTTCATTGGTCAACGTAGCCTCCGTAGCAGACGTTCCAAGCGGTTCGATTCTCTCCCTGCGGCGGGAGAGAATCGAGCCGCTTGGAACGTCTGCTACGGAGGCTATGGTCAACGAAAGTCGTTAAGGAAGTCTTATTACCTTTATCGCAATTTCTTGTCTCTCCTTCTTGTACTCBTAACGTCCAGGCTTTGCATCGAGGTTCACGACAGCAGTACTTGGCACAAACACGTGCATTGTTCATCATGGTATTACCCAGAATGCTTTTCACTTGGAAGCTCAAGAAAACACTACCACGCATGTCAGTATTGTTGAACCAGGCTGATGTGGAGCATTTGGAGAAGTGYTTTGGCAGTTCATAAAGGTAGTGATATTGGGAGAGAATTCCTCTGTTCCATGATTCCCCGATCTGTTGATATATATGKGTGAACTGAATAGTTAATCATAGCTCATTTKCTTCAATTTARCTCATCATTTTGATTTAAAATCACAATGAGAAACGTCGAGCGACGCCATTTTGACAACATAGAAAAATGGGAGGGATAATACTTGCACTTTTTTTAATAGTTCCTAAGAAATCTCCTTTTAGAACAGTGTTCATTATTTCTTTGTAGAAAAGGGATAATACTTCTCTTCTTGCAAAGAAAAAGCAAAAACGGCTTAGGAGGACTGTTTTAGCGAGCATAAGAAAGCTCCCATAACATTGTGTTGCACAAAATGGCGTCGCTACACATTGCTATTAGAGCATATATCTACCTTCGTAACATTGTAGTCTTCGACAAACAACCCGCATTGTTTAAGGTTGACAAAGTCCATACTTCTGTTGACAATCGCTGGTCTTTTTCCAAATTTCAAGTCATCCARTARAGTKGACAATTTGTCGTCATCGTACTGCTTCACAACTAAGGATATTACTTATTATTAGTATCTATTATTCTTATCGTTAATTATTAAATGTATTAAAAACACCTGCTAAGATAATTTTTCCTGCATTTTCGGCAAGTAGAAGATAGAGTCATTTTCATCCGTCTGTGAAATAGGAATTGTACTATTTTAAAAATACTATAGCCCCTATTAGCTTCCAATAGGTTAACTTATGACATGCGACAAACTAATTAGGCAAACACGGTTTTGATTTTGCCTTTTGGTAGCCTACTACACCCTAATAGTTACTATTAAACACTGACTAGTAGCAATTGTTTCACAGACGGATTAAATGACTCTACAAAGAAATAGTCCTTAATCAAAGAAAGTCAAAGCAGTTTATATAAAAAATAATAATTTTTATTATACAACTTTTCAGTAAATTCAGACGTTTTGATTGGTTGGCTTTCGTGTGTTATCAAAGTGTAGAAACACGGATGACGTCAAAACTAATTGTTTGTTGTATAAAACAGATAGATCTCATTTTTCYDTGCGTGTGTACTCTAATAGATACACAGATGACGTCAAAATGTAGTGAGAACAACAGTCACGTACTCGACTGCGTCTCGTGCGTACTTTTTTGTTCTCACTACATTTTGACGTCATCTGTGTATCTATTAGAGTACACACGCACGGAAAAATGAGATCTATCTGTTTTATACAACAAACAATTAGTTTTGACGTAATCCGTGTATCTATACTTTGATAACACACGAAAGCCAACCAATCAAAACGTCTGATTTTACTGAAAAGTTGTATAAACTTTGATAACACATGAAAGCCAACCAATCAAAACGTCTGATTTTACTGAAAAGTTGTATAATTGTTAATCAATAACTTAGTAAATGAGTCAATAACTAAAGTTCATCACAAGTACCTTTCTCTCCTTTCCTTTCAAAGTAAGTTGTATGAAACGAGGCCTTGGCGTGAATATGCAGTTCTGCAGAATTTTCAACCTTTTTAAGATTTTTTGCACTCTCTTCGTCCTTATTTTGAGAGTTTTCCACTGAAGCAGCAATCAGTTTCTTCTCGTTTTCTAAATCATAGTCAGTCTTCACCTCTTTTCCTGGTTTTGTCTGATTTATTTGCGATGCATCTTGGTTGGTTGTCGTTGTGTTTTCTTCAGTCAAAGATGCTAAAGCAATKAGCTTCTTTTCTTGCTCTATAGCTTCATCACTTTCATTGCTATTACTACTGTCAGTAATATTAGTATTAATATCTTCAAGAGGTAAAGGCGTTTCATCACTTGGTATACTATGGCTTTCATTAGTCAAAGTAATGCTTCCAGTTAGACTAGTTTGTGAATTTGGTGATTGTTTTAGGTCTAAGGAGTTAGCCGAAGCAATTGAATTATTGATTATACTTTCCATGTTGTTTTTCAATGCACTAAAATCAATGCGTATCTTCAGTTGACGGAGTTCCTCTTCTATATTCGGATAAGTGCTGTTTTCCTCTGCATTGGTTCTGTCGTTGTTCAAGCTGTCATTATCCGTGTTGTTGTTGTTGTCGTTGTTGTTGCTGTCGTTGTTGCTGTTGTTGCTGTCGTTGTTGCTGTTGTTGCTGTTGCTGCTGTTGTTGTTGTTATTGTTGTTGTTGTAGCTGTTGTTCATGTTGATGCTGTTACTGCTGCTAATACCATCACCACTTATATTTTGGTTATTTTTGTTGCTTGTGATGGGGTTACTGTCTTCAGTGCTGCCCTTGTCTCCGCTTTCGTCGTCGTTGTCGTAGCTATTGTTTTCGTCGCTGCTAACATCGCTAATAATTTCATCATTGGCGTTACTTTCATCAATGTTATTGCTGAATTTGTTGTTTTCGTTGTTRTTGCCGTTCTCATTGTTAACATTGTTGTTAATATTGTTAGCATTGTCATTTGTGTTTATATTGSTATCGCTGTTGTTGCTGTTGGCTTTGTTGTTGTCACCAACGTTGTTTTTGCTACCGTCGCTGTTGTTGACGTTGTTGCTGTCATACGTGTTGTTATTGTTGTCGTATGTGTTTATATTGTTACCACTATTGGGTAGTGTAGTTGTCGGTTTGCTGTTGTTATTATCGTTGTTTTTGCTGCCGTCGATGTTGATGTTATTGTTGTCATATGTGTTAATATTGCCGTACGTGTATATACTGTTAGTGTTGCTGTTGCTGTTATTGTTGTCATACGTGTTGTTATTGTTGC